TGGCCGCGGGCCCGGCCAGCGGCGCGGTAGTCGAGGCGGCTGGATCCCACACGGCCAACTGTGCGGTGGGAGTCCTGAGCCGGCGGCTTGAAGAACCCCGGGCTCTGGGGCGTGGCCACTCACTGCTCCTTCCGGGGTGCTTTCGGGACGGGTTCCAGCCAGCTCATGGGCCTGGAGAGCAGCACGGGCCACAGGACCCAAAATACAGCCATAGGTCCGTGAGCCGAGCCGACCAAAGACGCGAAATGCTGAGGTTTTGTGTTTTTAAATAATGAAGGGAAAAAAGTTCCATTTTGGTGAATTTTAAAAATTTGCTAGAAGGTACATGCCCTTGTCAGAAAGAGATGGCGAGAGAAAGAGAGAGACAGAGAGAGACAAATACCCCCGGCGGGTGGGGGTGGCCAGGCCACAGTCCCTTCTCATCCAGTCTCCTCTCAGAGTTCTGGGCACACATGGACACACACCCGAGGTGTTCTTTCTTGGAGAGGTTTTTGCTATAGGGCACATGTACTCACCAGAAAGACAGAGCGACAGAGAGACAGAAAGCGAGAAATCCCCCCCCATGGGGGATGGTCATGCCATAATTCCTTCTCCTCCATTCTCCTCTTGGGATCTTGGGCACGCACGCACACACACGCGCCCGGCATGAGTTTCAGCCACTTGGTCCAGGACTCGAACCGCAGTCTGCCACATGGGAGTTCAGCGACATAGCCATTACGCCAACTGCTGGTCCCCGAGGTGTTCTTCAAGCCGCCGGCTCAGGATTCCGACCGCACAGTTGGCCGTGTGGGATCCAGTCACCTCGACTACTGCGCCGCTGGCCGGGCCGGCGGACATGAAGAGTGGGGGCGCACCGCAGCGCGCACAGGCCAGGGCCCACCTGTGAGCGCAGCGCAGTGTGGGCGAGGATGGAGGGGCGGATATGAGAAACACGCTTAGGTGCAAATCTAAAAGCCGTTTCCATTCTTCTGACTTCTGAGACGTCGGCTGATGTGGGAGAGCTGAGCACAGCAGGCTGGAATCGCTCCCCTGTGTTTGAGGAAGGTGCCGACCCCATCTTCCGCCCTCACGGCCCTGAGGTGGCCCCCAGCCACTGGCACCAACTGCACTGGTGCGCGGGTCTTCGGGTGACCCCCGCTCCTGCGCGGCGTGGGCCCTGCGTCACGGTGACGCTCCTGCACATCCTGGGCCCCACGGTCACGGTGACGCTGTTACTCAAGTGGCTGTCAGAGCTGAGACCACCGTCTTAAACTGTGGCGGTATCTAAGCCGTCATGTCACTTCTTCGCCACTTAAAAACGCTTTCTTTGGAAACTTGTGCCTCGTGTGTTGGGTCATTGAGGACTATCCTGCGTGTGCATTAACTACAGATACGTCTGTGAGTGTGTGCACGTGCATGACCGCGAGTGTGCACATGCGCACGCCCCCCCCCCATCTTGGCTCTCTATCTGGCCAGTCCTGCTCTGTGTCTGTGGGTGTGTGAATTGTGTATACCCACACGCACACACACACCCGACGTGCTTCTCTCTGACCAGCGTGTTGTGGCCTGCAGAGGCTCTTTGCTGCGGGCCTTGTTCTTGTGCACGCATGGTACATGCCCACAGGTCCCTGTGCTCGGGCAGCACATGCCACAGGGTCCCTGTGTGTACTCAGTGCACACGCACCACAGGGTCCCGTGCGCACTCAGCACTCTTGCTCCAAAGAGCCCTCTCTTCCATGGTGGCGCTAGAGTTAGATGACAGCTGAAGTACACAGGAAGGTTGTCACCCAAACCCATGGCCCCTGAGACCAGCCCTCGTGCTCGGGCCTGCGCTGGCCAGGTGAGGTGCCCACGCCCTTCACTCAGGCTTGCTTTCCTCCCTGGCCCGCGGCCCTGTCACGGCCATCCTCTGGGGGAACTCACCAGCTGTTACCCAGCAACTTCCAACAATAACGACATTTTATCTGCTCCACTAAAGAGCTGGCCACGGCCTATGGCCTGGAAGGGCCTGCTGGGCTGCCCGGGCCAAGTTCCTGAGAGCCCTGGGCCAAGCGGTATAAAGCGCAGTGGTTTGAGGGGCCAGCCAGCGAGTGACCTGTCGGGGGCCGCGAGTGTAGACCCGGAGATGAGGGCCCTGCTACTGACCGTTGGCCTTGGCCTGATCGCTGCCCTGCAGGCCCAGGCACCCCTGGCCTCAGACAAGGAGACCCAGGATGTGAGCCGGGGCAGGGCGGTGGCTGGAGGGGCTGGGGAGGTAGAGTTTGCTGGGACAGACCCTCGATTTCGGGTCGGATGAAATCCCAGCCCCAGCGGCACAGCCAGAGCCTGAGGGGTCTGGGCCCGAGGAGCCGGGGTCCAAGGGTGAGCTGGCAGTGGCAGCACTGCTGGGGGGAGGGTCCCTTGGGCCTTGCTTGGCGGGGGTCGGGGAGGGCACTGGGCCTTCCTGGGTTTGGCGTGTTGGAGAGTTGCATGCCCAGCTCTGGGCAGGTAGAGTCTGGGGGCTGCAGAGGCCCTGGGGAGCTGTGCCTGATGGAGGGGGGTCCCCAGGTGTCAGGGATGTGGTATCTGAAGGCCATGGCTGCAGACAAGGAGATTCCTGGGGAGAAGCCGAAGTTCGTGACCCCTGTGACCCTCACAGTCCTGGAGGGGGGCAACATAGAAGTCAGAGTCACCATGCTGTGAGTGCTGGCCCTCCTGGCCCAGGTGGGGCGGGGAGGGACGCGCGGCCTCTTCCCAGCCCCTGCCTGCGGCCAGCAGCGGGAGGGTCCAGGACGGAGTCTGAGCCAGCCAGCCCAGCCCTGCGAGTTTCGCAGTCTGGACCCTTGGGGGGACTTCTGACGGGGTTTCTAGGGACGGGTTTGTAGCAAGAACGCCATGGGACGGAGACTGGGGCAGCACACAGGCCCCTGGAACCCTGTGTGGTCCCCACCCTGTGGCCACAACCGTGTGGTCTGCCGTGCCTGGGTCCGGGTCATGGGGACTGGCCTCCGGTGGCCATGGGCTTCGGAAGTGACCCCGATGTCATGGCCTTCCCCTCACTGACCCGGAAGGCAGTGGCTGTGGGCCGTCCCTGAGCTTCTCCAGGGCGAGGCCCATGCCCAGGCCCCAGACCTGCTTGCGAGCAGGAGTCCCCAGTCCCTCTGTCAGCCAGGGTGGGCCGGGAGGGCAGCCCAGGGAAGGCAGGGGGCCGTGCAGGGCCCTGCTCCCAGGCAGGGAGGGCCTCTGGGGCTCGACTGCGGGTGTGGTGGGTGCAAGCCAGGGCGGCTTCGCCCATGCAACTTCTGCGTCCTAGGGTGAATGAGCAGTGCCAGGAGCTGAGAGCTGTCCTGGAGAAAACTGACGAACCGGGCAGATACACGGCCCGTGAGTCCTGCACCCTGGGGCCCACACGGGAAGGCAGCTACCGGGCCTTCCTCACCAGCCGTTCCCTGCTCTGGCCCCGTTCACTGCTGCCTCCATCCTACGCGCACCCCACGCCACCACCAGGAGAGGCTGGGGGG